ACCCTTTCTAATCTTTGTTTATACAATTTCAGACAAACATCTTCAACAGATAATTTAAATCCCCATTTCAAAGACCAATCTTCCACCACATCAATAGAATCCTGAACTTTCTTTACAACATATTCTATGTTCCTTCCCCTTTTCCAAATTGCCCCATCATCTGCAAAAAGTGATTTTCCCATGTCAGGTTTAACCTTCTTATATACATCATTTATCATTATAGAAAATAGTACCGGACTAATGACGCTCCCCTGAGGGGTGCCGTTTTCAACTAAATAAGTGTCAGAAATATAATTACCCACACGAACTTGAATATACCTATCAAATAAGAAATCCTTTATCCAGTTATACATTTTCCCACCTATACCTATTTTATCTATCTTTATTTTCTATTTTTAATGGCGGTTGGCAAACAACTTATAGGTGCATTACCGCCACCTTCCAGAATGGAGTATGGATCAGACAATCTATTATATTCTCCCTAAAATACCAGTTCTTCTTAGAAAACTAAAAATACTCCCAAAAACTACATCCCCAGATGACCTTTGAAACAATTCCCCCATATCTAGTTTATTTTTATTCCTGCCTAACTCTCTACGCAACATCTCTCTTTCCTGAGAATATTTATTAAATTCTAAAAAAAAAAAAATATATATGTTGGACAGTTTCTAACTTCCTACAAATACAACACCCGTACAACTGTATTATGCTTTTTTATTATTTTAAGAGTAATATTTAATCCTGTATGTCCGAATATTATCCTAGATATAATATCTTCTTCTTTTTAATTCTATTACATTTTCTTAATTCTCCAACCTTTTTTTGAAAACTATAATAAACTCTAGTATTCCCTCCTTTATCCCACTGTTCTTGCCATTTCTTCTTGAAATACATTTTAATAATATTCTTTAACTATTTTTACTTATGTCAATGTTTAAATCAACATCCTTTTTAACAGCACTCTTAGCGAAGACTAATTTAACAACAGAACCACCATTTCGAATCCTAAAAATTTAGTGGAAAATATCCAATATAATATCTTGCCATGATTCTGAATTGAATTCTAGAATACTTATTAATGCACTACTTGAATCTTTCATTCTACTCTTCTTCCCTTCTTCTTGTGAGGTTGTATGGTGGTTGGGAAACTAGTTAAAAGTGCGTTACTGCCACCAACTGATAAGGAGTTAAGCAAGGAAACAGGAAACGAACCACCCCCAGAAAAAAATAATAAAAATAAAATAATAATATTTTCCAAACTGTTTAACTTAACCCAACATAATAAATACTTAATCCCATTTGCCCTCATAATTTCTAATTTATCTTTAAGTTATCGTCACTCTGCCAATTTGTGATGGTCCTACTGGTTTTCCCATCATGCTTTCAACCATTTCCCAGTTTAAATCTCTAACTTCACGATTTTCTTGTCATCTGAGCTCTACAGTTGATCACTTCTACCATCAAAAGAACAAAATCTTCCTCTTTTACAATCAATTAATCTTCTTCAATTTTGGGAAGCTGTTCCAGAGGTTTTGAATTTGTCATGTGCTGAACTGTATGGGATGGGATCCTTTTTGCAGCTTCAGCATAAGTTATTCCAAGCTCAAATTTCACTTTTTAAATTTCTTTAGACCTTTTACTCACTTCACACCCGCGATGTGCGGCAGTATGTTCTCCATCACAGTTACAGCATTTGATTTTAGCTTCTTTCCAAAATTTTTTGTATTCGTGCTCTCCAGCTCACCTTCCACATCGCTGTTTGTCTTTACATTCTGCTGCTGTATGTCCAAATATTTGGCATTTGAAGCATCTTAGAGGTGGAGGATTTTAACTTTTGACATTGTAGCCCATGTATCCAATGAAAACCTTGCTGGGTAACTGCTCTTCTTCATATTTAATCAACGCACCTAAGCTGTCACACCTTTCTCCATTTCTTGTTGTATTTAACCTTTTAACTTCTTTTACTTTTGCACAATTTATGTTTTCTAGAATCTCTTTATCAGTTACTTTTAGAGGAACTCCTCCAATGACTCCCCTGCTAATCTTTTTGTTCTCCCCCAAGCTGCACTGAACTCTTTTCCCCTCAATCTTGTTAATCCGAATGGCTTTGCCTTGTTGTGGCTGTCTCTGCAGTTTATTAACAGGTCTCCACTATAGAGTATTCTGGCAACTCTGACTTGTCCTACAAGTTTATTTATCTATTTTGTGAAATGAACCGGATTCCAATCTGTAAAAGAGGGCCTGATTAACTAGTTTGAATATGACTTTGTACTCATTTAGTTTTCCTGTGGAATTTATAGTTTGTTCATCACTTGACTGTTCTGAACTGTTCTCCCCTTCAATTGATTGATTCTCATTTTTACCCTCTTCCAATCTTCTCCGTTTTCACTATTTCCTTCTTCCATCCCACAAGAATCGCTTCTTGTTTCCTCACTACTCACGGCCCAGGACTTTTCTCCACAAGCAAATAGCTCCCTTCCCTTTCATTCTATTCTTCTAGTAGGTATTTTATTTCATTGATGGATTGTAAGCAACTTATAGGTGCATACCGCCACCTACTGTACTAGAATGTGTAGCTTTAAGGTTCCATCTACTATATTCTACTTTTTAAATTTGTGTAAAAAAATAAAAACAAAGCTTTAATACCCTAATCCCCCCCCCCTCATCTCCATCTGTCCCTAAAATTCCTTTAATACTCAATTCTCTCACTTTTCGCCTAACTACTTTCCTCATCCTGTCTCTTTCAGTTGCATGTATATATGAATTCATCAAAACATGATCCACATTTTCTTTTCCTCTACATCCCTCACATATATCATTATTCCTCTTCCCTAGTATAAACAAAAACTTATTCGGTGTGTGTGACCAGTTCTTAGTCTAGTGGAAATGATCTCCTCCCTTCTGCTTCTCTCCATAGTTTTTAAACACTACAGACTGTTGAACTCCG